TGGTTTACGGAGTACCTGAATAGGAATTTATTTTGTATATTCATCGAAGGGAGAATGTTGCTGACGCTTCCGTTTTCCAGTAAACATCTCCATGTCAGTATTCACAACTGAAAGACTAATTTATGCTTAAAAACGTTTGATAATAGTCGCCAAGCCCTATTTTCTCGGATGCACTGCTACTCTTTATGCTTTGTGATCCTTAATTAGAGTGGTATCGTTAGCTCCTAGAAATGATCGAAGAGGCTGTTGTTTGCCGAAAACGTTTCTTTACACCCCCGTCTACTGTAACGAATATGACTGTCTTTTACCAAGCATAATGTTCATCGCATTTCACTTAGTATACACCACTACAACTACGGTGGTATACGGGGCCATTTGAGGCCTTCGCGTGATTAATATTTATAGAGCCACGTTCCTAGTGTTCCGGTGGAGAGACAAGGTCGAGACGACTTTTTCTGGGGACGAGACCCAACTGCATGCCTCAACGGAGCCAAGTTCCCAGCTCCCATCAAGCGGGCTTTGTTTGTTCTGATCGCAGAATAGTGCAAGTTTCCACAAAACCAAATTCTGAAGTTACCATTACAAATCGGCCTTCAGTCTCTAGGACCGATCTATCTTTAGGATTAGCAAACTTTTGAACCGTGAATTTTAAGGTGTTAAGATGCGTAAGAAGTTTTTCGTTTTATTGTTGCGAGAAAGCGTCTCTGAGCCTCGACTTCGTCCTCCTTTCTCTCCTATCTTGTGTGTTAAATGTAAGTTCACGTCGAGCTAGCTGAGAAAGGGCCTAGCTGCGACAACTGGCGTGGAATAAGGTCCTGCCTTTCACACAATATATGTCATCTCCTCGTCTTGTTGTTTCGATCTTCTTGAAACGTTAGAAAACTTTGGGAGGGGATACTAAACCCAAACTAATCAAACGGTTATTATAAGTAGTTCATAAGCAATCAGATGTATTCACTTTCAAGATCCTAACATGCTAATAATTGTATGGGTTTTTTCGACTAGGATAATACTGACATAAGGCAAAAAGTGTATATTCTAAGATGCTTCTTTTTCACTCAGAGGACGACATTTCTGGGATCTAATAGGGCGTTAAAACATAGCGACTGCTTCTTAATTCTGTTGCTGGGCACTTCAAAAAATTCATTTAGCACTCCGCTGAATTCAGCTCGATTATTTTAACAGTTACCTCTTCTAATTTCATTCCGCGTAAAGGACACAATCCCTAGGAACTTAAAAGAACTCAATAATTTAGCATGCAGGGTAGACTTTGTTGATCTGACTAGGAGGAAATATATTTTGTGCAAAAATAAATGCGGTATGCGACTGCCACGTTTAGCGTTTCAGTAATGAGTCACAGCAGACGTCGCAACATGGCTATTTGTTAACCTAACCCCCCGTCAATTGCTTGTTTTGGCTTCAATGCAGCAAACACCTGCAAAACCTCAATCGTCTTATTTCCTTTTTATCTTTTTTAGACTCACAGCGGAATACATTGCCTACTTTCTTCCCGGCCTCTTTGTAAGCAAACCTCTAAGCCTTGGCTCTTCGCTTGTTCTGCTGCGTCAAAAATGCTTTATTTAGCCTCTAAACATCGCGTATCACGGAAGAATCCTTTGTTTCCGATTTTGAGTGTCCTCATACACCATCCGCGTTGTTTCTCCCGTGAAGTAGCCTGATACTGGCTAAGTTGCAGTCGTTTTTGCCCCCTCCCCCGCACCCCCATAGCTGTGTGTGCATGTGCAAGAATAAGGCCAACCGACGTGTCTCCGCAGTGCTGGCTGCGTTTTTTTTTTGTGAAAGCTGGTTCGGTAAGGTGAAGAAGAACGTTTCCCTGACGCGCGTAAACGAGGTTCACATGTCGAGTTATTCACACACATAATTCTGTGCTCCCTTTGTCACTTGATCACGTTGGGTTCATAAAAAAGCACACGAGCCTCATGCCGTTTTTCCGTTGCAGTATAATCGAACTGATGCACAATTCAGCCCCTTTCTTATTACCCTGATGGTTCCTTCTCATAATTTTCGTTAAATTGGGCTTGGAGTGCATGTGATGAGGGGGTCAATTTGTGTTACAGTGTATTCAAAGGCAGCTGAGAGTATCAACATCGAAAACAAGTTGAGCATGTAATTTGAGTGCAGGACGCAAGTATTTCTTCCACCTCATTGGCAGTATCCTACAAAGGTTACTGCGACCGAAGTAGTTTAGGTTTCCGGTCTGCCTCCAGTAAGCATTCCGGTCCATCGGGTCATGCCTAACGTTAGAACGGCGTTTCCACTCAGATTGGACTTGGCGTTAAAAGGAGTAAACTGCCTGCGCCTTTCATAAGTTACGCTGTGTCGTCAAATCTCGTCGAACGCGAACTATTCGCCTTCAGTTTTTGAATGCATCGCTTCACCCGGTGTGGGGTTAGGTAGTACTGAACGCATCAAATTTTTATTGTAGTTGCCGTTTTCCCCTGTGACGAATGTTTGGAATCGCCTTAAATAAGAACGGTTACCAAAACTTTGCTCCGCATTGCTACCTCTTTAATCAGCGTTCCTGTCTCAGTATGAATTTACCAAACCTTTGATAGATCTCTTCTACATGATCTAGATCCAATTACCCCGGGTCAAAGTTTCTAGCTTGATTTATGACACCAGATTGATCCCTGTTGATATAAGGGTTGTCTGTGCGTCGGGTTATGCAGCATACCGTTTGCTCGAAGGCTTATCTTTGCCATTTGACCCTAAAAGACTTGCTTTACCCTATGCTAATGTTATACGCACTACCTGGATCCATATAAAACTGCCGCCTTCTTGTTTCTTCTTCCTCCCCACCGTTCCCCTACTAGTTTGACTTTATGTTCATGACGCTGGCTCGTTATCTGGAGAGTCAGAACTTGGTTCGACCAATGGTAATGGCCGCCTGCGCGGGCACTGTATTTACTGTGCTTGCCCAGTCCCTTGTGTTCCGATGGAATCTAGGCCTACGGTAAGGTTTTAGGGATGAATTAACCGTCGTCTAGTTTTTTTTACCGTTAGAGACGAGCATGTTGTTTGCGAGCACCCAACTGCTCTGTATTAAATGTGAGTCATTTTACGGGATGGCTCTGGGCATCTTCTAGAGATTTGTCGTATTTATTTTATCTGGAGGTTGCAAAGTCAGTGACTGAGCTCAGGAATTGTTAACTGGAATGTGTTTTCTATTAGGAAGAATTACTTGAGTGGTGGAGTAAAAATGATGATTGCGCAGCAGAACCTCAAAATATTTATGTCACGCTGAAATTAAAATGCATTTTCTTTCGGCCGCTGCCCTTGGTCGAAAAGTACCACTCAGGCAGGACGATTTCTTTCTATTGCTTTTTGTTGTTTCCATAAATTCATATATATTGCATAGAAAAAGTGCACAAAAGCCCCCCAAATAATGTCTTCTTTAAATTGTATGCACAAAGAAGGGGCATTTTTAATGGTGAAAAGAATTTAAATTGCCGTATAATTTTGAGCCCGATCTACCCTTACATTTGCGTTTAGAGTTCACGGCCTACAACCTAGGTACTGCCCGTGTAAGGGAATCCACGCATTCTTCTATGCTATTAGGACGATATCATATATGTAGGACTGTCAAAAGCTTGCAGTTGAGTTTGAGAGTGTTGTATACTTCATAAGGAGCATTTGCTAAACGGACATATAGGGTGCTATTTAGACGGAAAGTGTGCGC